TTTCTGAGGCCAAAATCTAATGCTAATGCATAACTTTGACTCTCAAAAAACAAGAATAATACTGGGACACTAGTAAATACACCATTTGACACAGAATTTGGCATCTTCTCAAACTGCTTTCAAGTAGAATCGACTTCTCCTACATTTGAAGTTACTTTTAAAAACTTAAAAATAAAGTGATTTAATCTAGTCAGAGGTGTCAGTGGAATTGAGCTGATCCCAATAATCTATGAAATATATTGAAACTTGTTGCTACTGTTGGGGGTTTTGTCCACAGAGTAGCAGTTTAAACCAGAGCCACTGGTGCTCTCACAACGAACTGCCAGCTTTGTCAGCCAGCAGATGTTCCATTGTTTAGCTCCGCGGTGTAAGGTTGCTTCAGTTGAAGTTGGGACACTTGCTGCATCTTTTGAATTTAGCCCCATTGAGTGCCGTCACCACCAACCCCCACCTCCTTCTGCCCCCCCAAGCTACTCAGAGAGGGGCTTTACCCCTCCCCCTATCCCCTTTAACCCCCTGCAGACCTCATAGTTGTTGCCCCTCCACCACCACGACTATAACTCCCCCTACTCTTTGTCTCTCTCTCAGTCAGGCCTTCACTAATCAGCACCCCCCACTACACACACGCACACACACACACACATCAAAAGCCGATTTATTGACCAATTACTGCGGCGTGAGAGTGTATATGGAGAGTGTATTTGCATCAATATACATTGAAATGCTAAAATGCTGACACACACACACACACACACACACACACACACACAGACACACACACACACACACACACACACACACACACACACACACACTCATGCTCACGCAGTATGTGTTATCAGGCTGCCTGTTATCAGATGGAGAATGTATAGTGTATAGATGCCTCTGTTTGTCTTGCATGGTTACAATTCCTTCTTTTCAACCCGGCGTCTGAATGTGGCTGCTGTTGTGGTCAGGGCCTGAGTGACCACCACTGTGGAGCTTATGTAATAATCAGTGCCCTGCTTTCCTCTTCCCTACTATAGGCCTGTGTGTGTGAAACAGAGAGCGAGAGAGAGGCTGTTATAAGACCTAGGAAACACACAGGCAGCACACACTTCCTGTTTTTGTGTTGAACCCATTGGAGGCAGGAAGTGAGAGGAACCGCTGTTCTGCTCTTTCTGCTGTCTGACGGGTGAATTTTGCCTGACGAAATGATGCTACTGCTCTGTCAGCTGCCACCCCCTTACTTACACCACAGATTTAGGCGATGGGGTGGGGTGAATCTAGACTGTTGCCTCTCTGAAAGCCAATAACAACAAATCCAATTAAGTCACTTGAGTGCAATGTGGATGCTGTTAATGGTCTGTGATGTGACTCCAGGAGATGACCTTCATATGTGTCCTTTACCTTGGGGGTGATCAATTGCCAGCCCTTATCTCAGCAAGAAAAGGAAGAAAGGCTTCTATTTGTGTCTGATAACAAGACATGAGTGGGAGGGGCTGTGATTTTTATGCATGGTAAATGAGGAAGGGTTCAAGCCAAAACCAAGCAGAACCCCAGTAAAAACAAAGAATCTGGTGGCGGCAAACATGCCTGAGTGGTCGCTTTGAAGGACTGATTAAGGTTATAATAGTCCGCCTTGCCTCAAGCCTTCAGGCTGTGTGTTTTGGGGGGTGGGGCCTGATAAGGGGTAGAAGGGTAGTCCAGGCTGTTACCCTCTTTGTTCTGGCCCGCTCCACTCATGCCTGCTTTTGTCTCCACCCACAGTCTACCACTGAGAGAGCATTATCTCTCTATCCGTCTCGCGCCAAAACAGGGAGGGGGCGTGTTGCTTATTCTTCCTGCTTTCTTTCTTTCTGTCTGTTTTCCAAGGTACATTTTGTATCTGACACGTTTCCAGGGCAACTGCAGGTACAGAGTAGGTGTACAAAAGCTCCTTGAGCCCAGCCAATGCAGTCCCTCTCTGCCTCTTTCACTCAATTTCTGTGTGTCTTTCTTTCTAGCATTTCCCGCCACTCCAGGGTGCAAAGAGAGGGGAGGGGAGTGGTGTCACAGCCGGTATGAAGAAAGGCTGGCTCCTCTGAGCCTCGCGCCAAATGCCGGCGTTATTCAAATCAGCTCAGTGGGTGCGGCCCAACTGTCTCCATGTCCTGTTAACCCCCTCAGAGCTGCAGACTAGAACACAAAGGCAGATACAAGTGTAGGCTAAGGGCTTTGCCAGAGAAATGGTAAATGTATCACTGCTGTTCCACAGACAAAGCAGAATGGGAAATCTGTAGTTATATTCATATCCAGGAAACAGATTAAAATGATGTTATTAATGAGAGCTTGTCCTGTTTTTGTTGTTCCATAGGCTTTTCTTAGACAGAAAATGTAGTATTTGTATATAATGTAAAAATTTACAAATGCAAATTTTACCAACCTTTCTTTTATGAAACACAATGTTCTCTAATAAACTTTGAAAATACTGGGTTTATTCTTCTAAAACCACAGGTTTGTGCCATAATAAAACATGTTAGTTACCACAGACACTGAAAGTTCCTTTAGACAGGGCAGCTAAAGTTTAAGCATTTAAAGATTAAAAATATTCAGGTTTTCAGATCAACTTCCTGTCTCAAACAAACAGAGTTTCTCTTTCACATCCTCTTTGTCTACAACGCCTGGAGTGAGTGAGGCAGTGAAGTATTCAGGAGCACACTGGACAGCTCTGAGGCTGGCTTATCCTTTACCACGCTCTAGTGGCTGTGAGCATGAAATGCAAGAAATGAGTGATTCAGCTTTCAATGCCAGAGAGAGACTTTAAATAATGAAGCAACTCAACTGGGAAGTGTTTATCAAAACTGAATCAAATGTGTTAAAAAAAATACACTCCAGGTGTCAGATTTGCTCCTATACCTACTTCATTGTTGCGGCACACTATGGAGAGTGCAAGTTTAATTTTGAATGATGTCTAAACACAATATAAATACTTGAGAAAAAACAGATTGCACCATTTACAGCTTCTAAGTTTCCAGATGATAAAAGACACACAAACCTTCAGCTTCATCAAAAAAAGCTCTTTGCGTCTGGTCTCTGGAGAACCTGGAGGAGAGTGTGTGGTCATAGCCAGACACATTATTATTATTATTTGTCGATTAGATTGGCACAATTACAAATGGTACTTTGTGCCTTTGGTTTCATGTGTGCTGCCTCTGGAAGTATCGGATAAACAGGTTTAATTGACCCCTGCTGGTGTCTGACATCATCAGTCGGTCTTTACCACCTTTGTAATGCAGACAGATAAATAAAGATGATGGCCGTAAGGGATGCAGTTGTATCCAGCATGTTTCCTGTCAGGATGTGTCTCCGTCATCCTTGTGTTCCTTGAGTCCCTGCAATGATGTCTGCTCAGTATCGTCTTCCCGGAAACCCTCTGTAGCTCGTAAATTCCCTGTTTGTGGTGATAAAAGCATAGCTAATATTATTAATGATGCATTTATGCTCTTCAAAGCAAAACACGCGCTTTCATCTTTGTTCCCTGCATCACCTGTCTGTTTCTCTGATTGATGCCATATTTGGAGGGCTATATATGCAGTCTGGTGTCCCCACAGCCAATCAGATCCTAGATATGGGAGTCCCAGCCAGTCTGACTCCCTGGCTGTTGCCAGGCAACTGGGACTGCTGCTTCATATTTCAATCCATGAAACGATCCTGCAGGGGTTTACATGAGGAGGGGGCAAGAAGAAATTATCATTACATGCACAGGGGGAAGCAAATGACCCAGGATGGACTCCATTTCCCACACTGCCGAGCAGGAATATGAAATGTATGATAGCTAGTTCAGAACACATGGGATAAAATCCTGCTTTTGTATAAATAACATCTAAAAGAAAAATAATAATAACCTCTTCACTTTAAATGATCTGTTACTGCACTGTATAATAAATCAGCCTTTCTTCTATGTTCAAAGATAACAAACTCCACCTCTCTATTGGGAGACCTGAAGCATGATTAAATTTCAAGCATCATGACACAGCAGTGCTTTGACACATCGGTCTGTTCTATCCAATAGGTTGTAACAACCAGTTGTCACTTACATTAAATAACACGCCCTGCTGCTGCTCCAGCGAATTAGACACTGAAAGGGTTAAAAAGGGGGAGGATGCAAAATGGCTTGAAGTCAATAGTGTGTGTGAGGGAGAGGAACACACAGAAAGGCAAGCACAGAGGAGCTGAGCAAGGAGTGTAATGCAAGTGATGGCAGACATAAGAGAAACAGTGTGAATTTAACATTTTCCTGAATCTCTTATTCACTCTGCGACATCTCAGCATTCAGCTGAGTGCTTCCGCAGTTGCGCTCAAATTGATCTCATCTCCTGAGTGCACCATCATTGCATTCGATTGTGAATGCGCAAGAGTGAGTAAGGACTTTGTTGGGAAGTCCTGTCAAAGAGAGAGAAAGAGGAGAAAAGAGAGCCACCAGGGGACACAGTGCAACTCTAGTCCTGAGAGACAGAGAGAGAGAGAGAGGTGAGCTGAGGAGGTAAGATGAGTCTAAACACCGGTCAAACTCTGACCGTCAGTGGACAGGACTTGACCAGAATTAGCAGCAGCAGCAGCAGCACCAGTCGAGCCCCCGGGGAAGATGCTAGGACGGGTTTTAAGCCCTCTACCAGGAAACCTAAACCAGTGAGTATCTCTACAGCCTTCCACATACAGCATCCATTTATAGGTAGAGTTTCTGTGTAGAGTGTCAGAGTTGTTGACAGCAAAGTGTCACAGTATATAATCTTGTTGTCATTACGTTAGAGCTGAATTATGTTGCTCTTACTTGCTAGTTAAATCCTGCCAAGATACAGTTGTCTTCACTACTTGAGGTTGCCTTTTTCACAGTGGCCAGGACTGATGTCACATGATGGGTGACAGATGAGAGAAGACAGACACACTGACCTCACAACTTTATCAGTGTCTGGCCCTGGTAAAAAATAAAAATAAAACAGCAAGAGAGTCATTTCCAGGTCCACTAGTGAGAGCTGCATCATTTGAAGCCCCCAGTTAACTGAAAAGAAAGTTGAAGAGAGAAATGTAATTGGGTGAAACAGGGTACAGAGGCTCAGTGAGGTGTTATTGTGTCAGCTGGAACCTGAGCAACAGATAGAGGAGTCTTATTTCAGATCAGGTGGACAGTTCTCTGTGGCCTCATTTGGATTTTCAGACCTGGAGAGGATGCATCAAAATTCAGCAACGGATACAGCAACTACGACTTCAGGGTCTTGCAAGATGCAGGGAAATATCTTAGTTGTAAGTCTCGGACAAATATGTTATAAATCAGTTGTTTAAGTCTGTTTTTAAGAAGTGGAAATCATTTTTCATCCCATGCACATAGTCTGACCAGGTTTCAGGTTGAAATATCTTACTTTATTGTGTTTTTAAATCTTAATAAAATTACAGTAATACAGTAATATTCTGAATAAAAAGTTTAGCCCACTCATGACTAATTAAAAACTCGATACTGTCTGCTGTCCCAGCCTCCAAAGAGTTAACAGATGTCAGCCCTGTATGTGGGCCTGCACTATCAGAGTCTTGCAGAGGAAAATATTTCATATCACACTGTCACTTCTATTCTGACACATCAGCTCACTCGGTTTACCCACTGTTGTTAGTAAGTTAGGCATGGACAATAAAGTTTTTCAACATTCTTATGCCACAACCCAGATCATGTTTAATGAACTGTGTCCCTGCAGGCAGCAAAGTTACAACTCTGAAGCTGAACCTTCAAAACAACATCATCTCCTCTTATTCATATTCTAATAATACAATCCTCTGTGTTTGTGAAGGAGCAAGGCAAAGCTACATTGAAATGAAATGTTTTTAATCCTCTCATCCTTCAGCCCAAGCCGGAGAATGCCATCACCATCGCTGTGTCGTCCCGAGTCCTCTTCAACATGGAGAAGGAGCAACAGATCTACCAACAGGAAGGAATGGAGGATTACATCAAGTATCAGGTGGAGCATGAAACAGAGCCTTTCAGCCCCGGACCTGCCTTCTCCTTCGTCAAGGTCAGAGACTATGAGGACAACAAGGGGGATAAACACACACAGGCACACACCAGCACACACCAGCACACACCAGCACACACCAGCACACACACACTATATCAAACTAGATGCAGAGAGATTCCTTGGTGTCAGTGTTATGTGCTGGGTCGTGTCTCTGGAGGCGGCAGATGAGTAATAAGCCTAAAAACACCAACCCACTCAAACATACACAAACACATACTTCCATCCCCACTGCAGTGATACGGTATAATCTTTTTTTTTATACATATATATACATATATATATATATAACTCAAATCTGTCTGGATGTGTTCCCAGGCTCTGGAAGCTGTGAACACTCGACTGAGGGAGCTGTACCCCGAGAGCGAGGAGCTCTTTGATGTTGTGCTCATGACCAACAACCACGCATATGTTGGCCTAAGACTGATCAATACCATCAATCATCACCGTGAGTAACTGATACACATGAATGATAAAAAACTCTCTGTGCAGGGAAATATCCTTTTGTCTGGTGTACATCCTCCAGCATCACTTGCTTTATCTTTTTAGCTTCTTCTTTAAAGTCACAACATGTAGAATATAGTATAAAAGTATAAAAGTAAGCATTAGGAGGAGGTTGTGATGGATGGATGAGTTGACAAAACATATGACTCTGACACTGGGACCAGTTCTTTTCCCATTTCAAACCAATAGTCATTGTTGTGTACGCTAACCGAAACCATGCCATAACCTTAAACGTCCTTGCTTGCTGTCACACAGGGCTTATTTCAGGTCATGTCTCGTATCAGACGGTAGGTACAAACGGCCTACATGGTTGTTTAGGTTGGAGGACTTGTTGATTTGGTGGCACAACCTTTTGCTTGAAAAAATGAGACAATCCTGGTGAACTTTGGAGTAGTCCAGTGTTTGTTTGTCTCCCATTAGCTGCAGTGTGTTTTTTGATAATACCACTTGGGGGTGCCAAAGTTGGACATTTTCCAACCCTACACATGTGGCTCATGGACAGTTTGAACACTAACCCTCTGGAAAATGGTTGCAAAATATTTGAACCAAAATGCATTTATTAACAACTTATGAACATGTCACAGCTGTCCATCTGTCCATTAATGTGTTACTAAATTTGGTGATTTTTAATTTCTCACACAACCTAAAAAATAAGTGTTCCTTTTTTAATGAAGTTGACATTTTGGAGACAGCTTCTTTTTTTTTCATAAGACGTACACAAAACAACAGACTTAAGGCAATAGTTCAACATTTTGGAAAATATTCACCTTCTTTCCAACAGTTAGGTGAGAAAACTGATGCCACGCTCATGTTTGTACAGTACATATGAAGCTAGCATACAGTTAGCTTAGCACAAAGACAGGGGACAGGGAGAAACAGGATGGCTGCGTCAACAAGTCAAAGATCGAAGTGAAAAAAGACACATTTTACACGGTGTTTAGGTTTTATGTAGTTTTACATGCTGGTAGGTGGAGTTACCTTACAGAGCTAGACTAGCTGTCTCCCCCTGCTGTTTAGCTTAGTTTAGCATAAAGAATGGACCTTGAATTATATTTATTATACAGTTATGAGAGTGGCATTAATCTTCTCATTGAAACCTTGGCATGAAAGCAAAAAGCGTATTTTCCAAAACATCAAATTATGCCCTTCATGGATTGTTTCAGTGGAGGAACCATTATTGTCCTTATCCACATTCATAACTGAAGACCTGATGGCTTATTATGAAGACAGGAACTATTGAGCCTTAATTAGTAATTTCTCCAATTAGAGTGTTATAATCTGACCCCATTAATCTGTTATCACATGACAGTTCTGTTGTTAGGTCAAATCAAACTTGATAAAGGTCCATTCACCAAAAGAATGCCATAGAACATTTACCACATCCATAAATGCTTTATTAATTTTTTTATGAAGCTGATAATTACAACACATACCAATTTACAGTAGTAAAAGTATGACTTGTCAGAAAATGTTTTCCAAAGATACACTGTAGTTTATTGTACGTCAGACCCACATAGATCATCCTGTTAATATAAATACTCACTACAGAATCAAATGTGTATCCGCCACTGAGAATAGTCCCCAACAAATGCACAATTTTATTGATTTGAGTAACGTTTGCTAAAAACTACACTGCCCAGCTGTTTGAGGGAATTATTAAGTATATATTCATGGAGCTGGGACTAACACATTTTAGGTTTTGGTCTTTTCATGGGATTTGTTGGCAATAAGAAAAATATAAAATGTCACAGCTTCATCCTTTAAAGGCACTAAGTTATTATTTACTGATACAGCTGATTTCAAGCTATCACTACAGGCAATGGTTTTTGACACAGATCAGTTTTTTTTCATGCTGGAGGGTCAATTAACCACTGATACAGCTTTAAGTCTGTCCTGTTGAGGTTATTTTGGGTCAGTATTGTCCCCCTCTCCATGGCTTTTCAGACCACTAACAAGGCTTTAAATTGAAATAGATGTAAGCATACAGTATGCGTAGATAGAACAATGTAAATCCTGCTTACGTGGACAGTTTGCAGTTATTGTGGGTAAATTTCAGTCTCTACCACCATTATAACCTCTTATATTAAAACACTTGGGCTTTGACTAGGTGATCTCCTGAAATAGCACAGGACCTACCACAGGTCCATGTACTGACACACACACACCAACAGACTGAGGGTGGGCTGGACTCTAGTGATGTGCTGTCACTCTGTAGATTCTGTAGCTGCTTTCCACAGCTGGTCCTCTTGATTCCCACACTTTATGACCCAGTGTCCCTCCCCAGGTCACACAGACACGCAAGTGTGGACATGAAGACTACTCAAGATATCACAGAATCCTCTGTTGACTCATTGGGAGGAAGAAATAGAAAGACACAGTCAGAGAAGGAGGAAAAGAAAGGAACTGGCTGTAATCTAAGAACCTTTTGTCCTGTCTATAAAAGCTATTTTGTTTATTTCCTTGGTGAATCAGCGCGTGTTGACAGACTTCCACTCAGTTTAAGGGGTTGCTCTCATCCCTCTGGATGAACAGGGACTGCGAGTGGTTATGGTGGGATCTTTCTGATGGTCCAAGCACCATGTTATGTCCCCCAGGGATAAGTGGTGGGAGTTGGAGATCTGTGGCCCTGTTTCCTCGCAGGGGTTTGGCAGTCCCTCACCCTGCTTTCACTCGTGTAGTCGAGCCAAGTGGAAAAATCTGCACAGCCCGAGACAAGATCTCAGGCTCTCTCCTTCCATGCCAAGGTTCGCTCTTCCTCCTCCCTGCTCTATCTCTTAGACCCACACACCACCAACACAGTATGTGATGCAGAATAGGTAGTTATGCCCTCAGTTGTCCCTGGTCCTTTATTATTGTTGTCATTTGCTGAAATAGCACAAATTTAAACTTTTATTATTATTCTTTAACTTTTCTATAACTTTCCTTGCCATTCATACAGAAACATCAGTTATTCACATAAACTTTTTCACCAACAGTATTGTGTGTGATTATCAGCTGACTCTTGCATATATTCAGTTTATGGACAATAAATGTTCACTGAGCTTTTGATTCCTTCTCTCTGCAGAGCTGTTCATCGAGCGCTTCTGTATGACTGGAGGAAACAGTCCCATAGGCTACTTGAAGGCCTACCACACTAACCTTTACTTGTCTGCTGACCCAGGCAAGGTTCGAGAAGCTTTGGAGGAAGGTCAGTACAAAGAGAGAGAAGCTACATGATACCGAGAAGCTCTAATACTAGAAGACAACAGATAGTTCTTGTCTCTGCTAAGTGATGATGTTGTGCTCCTAATTTTCATAAATAGCTTCAACATATAAGATTCAAACTCAATACACAGTACAAAATGTGTGTCTGTGTGTGTGTGAAATACTGTGTGTACACCACCAGGTATAGCAGCAGCCACCATGTTCACCCCAGAGAAGATAACAGAAGTGTCGGAGACTCAGCTGCGTGTCGCCTTTGATGGCGATGCCGTCCTCTTCTCTGATGAGTCTGAGCGCATTTACAAGGCCCATGGACTGGACAAGTTCTTTGAGCATGAGAAGGCCTACGAGAACAAGCCTCTGGACCATGTACAGTATACACATAGAGACAATTATCATTATCACACCGCATTTGGTACATTCAATTAAAGGATAGTTCTGGTTTAAAATGTGCATCTTACTCTTGACCCTCACTTGTGGCATTAAAATTGTACAAACAAAAGTCGTGCCTGTGAGGTGGAAACATGTTGACATCTCGACAAGTCCAACAGGGTGAGAAACGAGGTGTCAGAGGGTTAAACAGAATGAAAAAAGGAAAGTTTATCAAAACATCTTCATTTGGAGGTAAAACTGAAATTGAAAACATCTGAGTCCCTAATAAGTATATGATAATTAATAATCCAAAAATCCCCACGACAGCTGTGTGCACATACAACCATATTAAACACAGTAGGTCAAAGATGAACAGAGAAGTTGGTCTGTAAACTGTAATGGGTGTTCGAAACAGACAGTTTAGATCACGTGTGTCTTGTCCCTCCGACTTCTTTTTGTGATTTCACCTCATTTCCAGATATCAGGAACTGGTAAACTCAGTTTGTTATGTACTTTGGCTTTCAGTCTAGATTCTAGGTTTTCATGTGTAACAAACAGCAAATACATGTAGAAACAACCAAACTGAGGCTCACTGTCATGCATTTTTCCCTCTTTCTGCAGGGGCCATTGAAGGGCTTCCTGGAAGCTTTAGGAAAACTACAGAAGAAGTTTTATGGCAAAGGCCAGCGCATGGACTGTCCCATCCGGACCTACCTGGTGACGGCTCGCAGTGCAGCCAGCTCTGGTACAAGAGCCTTAAAAACTCTGCGCTCGTGGGGTCTGGAGATCGATGAGGCTCTCTTTCTTGCAGGGGCACCCAAGGGGCCCATGCTGGAGAAGATCAGGCCGCATATTTTCTTTGATGACCAGATGTTTCATGTGGAGGGGGCAGCGGAAATGGGGACAGTGGCGTGCCATGTGCCCTATGGGATAGCACAGAGAGTTACCAAGAAAGGAATAATGGACAAAGAGATTTCTTCAGCAGCCGAGTAGCCTGGACGTCACGGTGCAGAAGGACAGGAGACTAAGGGGACGTTTCATTTTGGCTTCCAGGATGTTGTACCTACCGTAAAATGTAGTCATCAATGCAATGCAATCATAGTTCATAAAGTTACACTAATTATAATGAGGAATCCTTTATAAGTGATTGTAAGTAAGAACTTTATTAACTGAAGCTTTATCGATAAGTTATAAGCCACTAATTAGAATAATGTTTGAGGTGCCAGTTTGCATTTAGTAATGGATCACTAACCAATGTTTAAAACATCATTATTAATAAAGAGAAAGGTTAAACATCAGCCATAGTTACAACTTACAAATCCTTTATAAAGATTACCTTATGAAAAGGTGGAACTCTGAGCTGTCTGTGTTCAGAATTTCCATTTGCAGTAAGATATTTACCTCGCACTCCAGCAGCATCCTGTATTATGTTCAGCACTGAAATATTTTTACCCACGTTTACCCAAAAAAAGTTTAATCATACAAATTCTAAACATTATTTATTTAGATGCCAGGTTGCTGGGGAAACAACACCTGTATTTCACAGCTGCACTGAAGACACGTAGCCAGACACTTTCTACACGTTTATCACTTTACTGCTTGTTCTGTGTGTTTTTTAAAACTGGTGCCTTTTTCTCACTGTTGTTTTACAGATGTCAGTCTTGCATGTTGGTAAATGTACATTGTACATATGGTTGTTTGATCAGTGTATATGAATGTATCTTAAGTATGAAAATTAAAAATATGGGTAAAAGAGAAGTATTTTACTTTCTATTTATTTAATATTTCTTTTTGTTCAAGACAATGAAGAAAGAAAAAAAGAAAAAGGTTTTTAACATCTTTAGCATTTATTGTCATCTGTAGCACCCACAACAAGTTAACCTGGAGTCGAGGCTAGGGCTAGTGACTACAATGTAGCATCAATGTTGACCCATGATCAGAAGACCAGGCTACGAGCTGGGAGGGAGTAAACAAGAGACCGAGGTTTGCTTAGAAATATATATATATTGTGCATTAACATCAACAACAGTCAGACAACAACAGGTAAAGTGCTAAATATATACAGTGGAAAATGTGTGAATACCAATTTCAGATGGCCAGTCCAAACAATTCATGTAGCTACTCGTTCAATCATATATATACTCCATAATACTTCAACACGACAAAATTAACCCGGATGTTCAGCTCACTTAATACCATTTACCCAGCTGCCCACCCACAGTTCATGAAGAACCCACGTCTGGGTTAAGTTGAGTCCAGGGGGAGGTATGGGTGAGAAAGTGTGTGGGAGAAGAGTGTGTGTGTGTGTGTGGTGGGCAATGGGCAACAGGTAGGACGAAAGTTTATTGTGAGCTACAGGGAGCCCCCTACCGGCCTGGCAAAAAGGGGGGTCGATCCGTCGCAGTCCAGCGGTAGGCTCTAGGCCTGCTCCTTAGCTCGCCATCAATCCACGTTTGGTCTGGAGAACAGGACCATAGTTCCATAAATCACAGTATTCATACCAATCTAGTGCGCACATAATCCGACTAAAGCGCTAATAGCACTAGAGTAACTCTTTTCAAATATTCATGATTCTTTTCAAATATTCATGATTCAGAAATAGAAAAATAAACATCTATCAATCATAAACAACATTTACAATATCATTTATCCCAAATATCCTAATTCAAATTACTAATAGGAAAATACATCCATAACGTTACCAATGCCATGAATACATCCACAAAATACATCCACTTACATTGCAGCAAGGTGCTCTGCCCAACTTATTCATTGCAAGACCCGTTTCATTTTGGAGAACCCAGGCATGTTTTAATAACCAAACGCTAACCACCTTTATTAAAATGAATGCTGCGGCTAGGCAAATGCTAATGCTAGAGCTAAAAACAATTGGACTCACCAGTCTCTGCGCAAGTTACACGCTCACTCGCTGTCGGTTTCCGCACGGCAAGTTTGGCCCGGCAAGGAGCTCCTACAAGTCAACACATCGCTTAACACTTGGCCATTATAACAATGGAAAAGCAGCGGAAAGTTTATAGTTTACCCAACCTGTAGCTCGTCTTTCCTGCAGCTTCACCCCCTCTTACCGAGACTGAACAGCGCGGCTCTATACATAAACGCGGTTGGTCGTGCCATCCCACGTGACCCCGTGATGTCACTAACCAGCATCACTGTGATTGGCCCAAAGGGACCACGCGAGAACCGGAGCTAACTCCGCGAGATTTTGAGCGGAATGAAAAGAAAGGAGAAACCTGTCACCTGGGTTACACATTTTGTCATCTGCTAAGCTTGACGCTGCCAGTATAGGTGGCTTGCTGCCCTTTCCACCTTTGACTTTAAACTCCAGTATCGGGCTGGCCAGCCAGAACAGAGACGCTGACGCCCTCTTCTCGAAGGCCTCATGATCTGTGGATGAAGACGATTGTCAAAAAGAAATGGGAATCTGGTCCAGCAGTTCACCCGTGACCATGTGGATGAGAAGGTGTTGGCTTGATCAGAGGGTTGTAGCCGCCATTTTGTCACAGCTGTCTGGTGAGAGTTTCAAGTCCCCCGAGAGCGGTGCTTCTTTGGTGGAGTCATTGAGCATGTCAGTCTCTGTCATCCTGACTGTTATGCCAGCGAGTCTCCTCAAGGGCTGCCAGTTGTGCTGCACTGTCCCGTCCGGACTCCGGAGAAGCAGAGAGTGGGATCCCAGTCTTTAAGGAACTAATCGCTCACCTCGAAACGGTGAGAGTGTGCCCCTACAGTCGAACACAACTTCCAGATTCTTGGGCCTGCTGTTTGAGAGGAGGAATCGCCTTGAGTTTCGAGACGATGTTCTTTACAGGAAGAGGCAGGATGGAAGGACCATCTATAGTTTCAGCTTATGTTGCCAGAGGAATTGCGTCAAGGAGTTTACCAGCCTCCATTACGACATGGGGCATATGGGAGTCGAGAGGACGCTTGACCTAGTGAGATCTCGGTTCTTCTGGCCACGTATGGCTGTAGATGTGGAAAAGAAGATTAAGACTTGTGACCGTGTGCATTCGAAGAAAGCCCTACCAGAGCGAGCTGCCCGCTGGTAAACATCAGGACCGGCCGGCCGCGTTGAACGTGTTGTGCATGGACTCTGACGCTCGAGCAGACAGAGTAACACAAAGACATCTTGTCCTCACAGATCATTTTCACTAAATACGCCCTGGCTTTTCCAACTGCAATCAAAGGCGAAGACTGTTGCTAAATGTCTGTGGGAAAATTTCATCGTGCATTATGGCACTCCCGGAGCGTCTGCACACAGATCAAGGCGCGACTTTGAGTCCCAGTTAATTCGAGAACTCTGTGACATTTGCTGGTATTCAGAAGACCCGTACACGTCATATATCTTCGTGGCAACCCAGTGGAAGAGGTTCAATCGGACGCTGCTGAGTATGTTGGGTACGTTGGGACGGAGCAGAAGGCAAAGATGGAAGGAGTATGTAAAGCCCCTGTCCATTGCTTACAACTGCACCAGAAACGAGGTCAACAGGCTACACTCCTTATGAGCTCATGTTTGGTCGTTCTCGAGATTACTGTGGATCTCGCTTTTGGTTTGCCAGCAGGGAGACAAACCTGCCTCCATCACACTCAAAAGTATGTGCAGACTCTTCGCTCTCGTCTGGAAGAAATTACCAAGTTGTTCCAAGAATGCAGCCAAGTCAGCAGAACGGAACACAGGCTCGTTTTTGATCAGAGGGTAGACCCTCTGCTCTGGAGGAAGGGGACCGAGTGCTGGTCGGAATGTGAGACTCCGGGGTAAACAATAAGCTGGAAGACAATGGGAGAGGGACATCTATGTTGTTATTAACGTGCTGGTGACCTCCTGTATACACGGTGAGACCTGAGAAAGAGGCATCTGGGAAGACGCGAACATTGCACAGGGACCTCCTGCTTCGTGTGGTTTCTTAACGGGGATGCAGGAACCAAAATCCTACCCTGCTGCACCAGGCCGCCGACCTCAAACTCGGAGTCTGACGGAGCCAAGAATGGGATCCAGAGGAGTGCCTGAGTGAGGAGAGAGGAGGAAGGGAGACTTCCTAGCGTTTAATTCCAGCGATTGCGAAGTTCAGGGTAGAGGGGAGTTTTTCCGGCCCAGGCTTCGCCTGCCAATCCCATTGTGACGGAGCCAGTGTGTTCACCTGAAAGGCATCAGCTGGTTGTTGAGGAGCCTTCTCTGGGGACCGATTGCTGAGGATCCATCTTTGCTCTGGGTGGAGGAAGAGGCGTCTGAGTGGAGACTGGGGAATACTTACCGGAGGGTGAAGAAATCAGTTCCACTCCAGAGACACCGCTACTGAGGAAGAAGTGGAGCACAGAGAAGCTGAGGCCAGCCAGGCTTATTCGGCGTTCCTCACGCAGCGGCAATCGCCTAAGCGCCTGCAGTATCCTAGGTTGGGTAACCCATTGATCTCTGTCATACAGACACTTTTCCATAGTTGGCTGATGCGTACGGTGAGGCTGGTACCAGTCCTGCGTCTAGCACTATAGCTCACGATCCATGTGGTTTAGCATGCCCGGAGTGCATGGTTCTAAGGGGGAG